GTGAGATGGCAATGGAGCTGATGTTACCTCCTCCAGTATCGAGCAGCCTGCACCTTTACTGTCTATGGCCTGCAGTGACGATTCACTTCACTTGTGTATGGTGAGTCGTAGGTAACCCGGAAAACCCGGAGTGGTCTTTCAGTGGTATGTGCATTCTCATATCGATCAAGTGGAATGGATTCTTTCACAAAGCAATAGAAAAAGCACTGGGTGAAAGAGAAAAAAAAAAAGAGAAAGAGGTGCAAGGCGGGGAACAACCCAGGATGGGGTGCCAATGTAATCATGGCCATAAAACAGTAATAACAGGAAATAAAAGTAATGTTGGGGTACATAGGGTATTACATGTATTATTTATCATTTACCTTCACAGGGTGCACTGGAGCATGAGGAGTCTAAGATCCTACGTATCCAGCTGGAACTCAGCCAGGTCAAGGGTGAAATTGACAGGAAGCTGGCTGAGAAAGATGAGGAGATAGAGCAGATCAAGAGGAACAGCCAGAGGATCATTGATTCCATGCAGAGCACTTTGGATGCAGAAGTCAGGAGCAGAAATGATGCTCTGAGGGTCAAGAAGAAGATGGAGGGAGACCTCAATGAAATGGAGATTCAGCTCAGCCATGCCAACCGTCAGGCTGCAGAGGCCCAGAAACAACTGAGAAATGTGCAGGGACAGCTTAAGGTATGTATGCAGTTATCTTGATGATAAAAGGGACTAGTGTATCTCTCAGTAAGAAGATAATGGAAGATGTGTTATTCTACAGGATGCCCAACTGCATCTTGATGAAGCTATAAGGGGACAGGAGGAGATGAAGGAGCAGGTTGCCATGGTGGAGCGCAGGAATACTCTGATGCTGGCTGAGATTGAGGAGCTGAGGGTTGCTCTGGAGCAGACAGAGAGAGGCCGCAAAGTGGCCGAGCAGGAGCTGGTCGATGCCAGTGAGCGTGTTGGACTGCTGCACTCCCAGGTATGTTTAAAATATCAAAAGTTATGTATGATCTCCCTGGAGTCATTGCTCCAAATATTTGCACCTGTATTA